ATGTGTCTTTTCCAAACTTATTTCTTAAATAGGGTACTTCTAAATTTATTTCTCAAACTAGGGTGTTTTTCGCCATGTCATCTCATTATCATTGCAGGCCGCCACATCAATTTATCCACATCATCCCAACAATTCCATGTCATCCAACTTTAAGAATTAAAGTGTGTTTCTAAAAGGAAAAAAATGATGACTCTAGGATTCAAACCTGGGTGAAACAAGGGGCGGAGAGCTACTAACACTATTGAACCGTTACACCAATGTGTTCTCTTGTTCATTTGACGTTTTTCCAGATACTTAAACCATATATACTTCTTTCCCAAACAATTAAAAAATATAATAAAAACTTAATTTGAGTTATTCAATTAAGAAATAAAAACCTAATTACAATTTATAATAAAAAAATATTTCGCAATATTTAAAAAACTTACTTTTTTCCAAACACAAAAAATAAAAACGTAATTTGAAATTATAATAGAAAACATAATTTGCAATATGTAAGCATTTTTAACTCAAAATGAAATACAAGAAAATACAAGCAAATCATGCTAGTCCACTTCAATTTTTTAAAAAGAATATTAATAAAATAAAAGACCATATAAATTTTAAACTTATAATAAAAAAACTTAATTTGAAGTATGTAATTAAGAAATTATTTGACATAACTCAAAAATAAGTAAAATAAAAAATAATTAAATTTCATGCTAATGTAAATTATTAATGTAAAAAATATCATATGCAATTTTTCGAAAAAAATATCCTTTTTAGCAGCTCAATTCTTTTCGAATGGACCTCGGTTCAAATTTTTCTCATAAATTATCATTGATTTGAATTCAAATACAATGCTCAAATTTGAGCTAAATTTTAGTTAAATTTGAAATTAAAAGATTTTAAATCCAAATGTATATTCATTTATCTGTGTATTACTCGTTTCGTTAGAGATATACTACACATAAATTCATTTTGAAATAATTAAAAAATATATGTTTGAGATAATTAAAAATAAAGAACTAAATAAACTACTAAATATCAGGGAAGGTTTTAGCCCACCACAATTTAAAATTGGATATTATTCATGAGAAGTAGACTAGCATGAATTCACTTATATTTTATTTTATTTCGTTTTAAGTTATTTTAAAAAACATTGATTGCATATTGCAAATTATGTTTTTTATTGTAAGTTTAAATTAATATTTTCTAATTAAATATTGCGAAATATGTTTTTTATTATAAATTTTAATTAGGTTTTTAGTTTTTAATTGAATAACTCAAATTAAGTTTTTATTATATTTTTTAATTGTTTGGGAAAGAAGTATACATGGTTTAAGTATCCGGAAAAACGTCATATGAACAATAGAACACATTGGTTTAGCGGTTTAGTAGTGTGAGTAGCTCTCCCACCTCGTGTCTCACCCATGTCCGAATCCTGGTGCCATTTTTTTTCCTTTTAGAAACACACTTCTATTCATTAAGTTGGATGATGTGGATAAACTGATGTGGCGGCCTGCGATGATAATGAGATGACATGGCGAAAAACACCCTAGTTTGAGAAATAAGTTTAAAAGTACCATAGTTTGGGAAATAAGATTGAAAAAGACACCTCCTAGAGAAATAACTCCCGATGATATATTGCTCATTCAAATTAAATACGACATAACAACATGTCAACATGGTAATAACTCCATTATGACCCAATATTTTAGCATGGAGTATGGGCTTTCTTGCTTCTTCAAAGTATTGACTTCTTTTTTTAAATTAATTGAAGTGATATTTATCAGTTTTATAAGTCTCCAGGTTTCCTTCAATCAAAACAATTCTCAAGGCATAAAGAGACGACACACATGAATTTATAAATATGTAAAACGTGTTACTATAAAATCATTGCTATTTTTTTATATGGAATCTCATTCCGAAAGAAAAAAAACACAAACTTGAACTTTTATTGCTCTTTGTTAGTTTAAAAGAAATTTTTAGAGAGATTTTATGGTCATGAGATCAGAGTTACACTTCTTGATTCTCCTATGCTCTGGTTTCATGTAATTAAGCCCTCAAAGACTGAATCATCACTCTCGTTGTGATTAGAGCTGCACATCGGACGGGTTGGGTCGGGTTTGCTATATTTTTTGGCCCTACCCGATTTGTTCGGGTTGGCTATTAACCAACCCGCAGTACGCAAAATAAGTTGGTAAACCATGCTTGAACGGGTCGGGTGTTGAACAAAATTCACTTCGGGTTGCATCTTTCATGTGGGAAATTAATGCAACTAATTTAAAACTCGATTAACTTGTTTCAAAAATACACAAACAAATACAGGTACTCATATCTTTTATTCGCAAAAATATTAGGTAATAGTATTAAAACATCCTTCCGTAAAGGAATTTCATTTAAAAGGAAACGTAAATATATACTTCGTAATAATTACCTATTAAAAAAGGTAAATGTTTAATTATAATTCTTATTATATCATAAAGTCCTAGATAGAGCACATTGGTCTTAAATTGAAATTATCCAAGAAAACAGTGTATCATAATAATAGTACAATGAACTTCGGTCGGGTCGGGTACTATCGGGTTTGAGATTTTAATTCCGCAACCCTACCCATTAGGTGCGGGTTCAAACATATTTAACCCATGAATATTTTTTAAAATCAAATACCCAATTAAATATGGTCGGGTAGGGTTGGGTCGGGCGGGTTATACGGGTTCGGGTTATTCTTGTGCAGTCCTAGTTGTGATGCTTTATTGTTTATATCTTTCAAGGGTGTTTGGATCTGATTCCTAAAACTGCTTCTGCTCCTTCAGAGAGTAGAAGAAGAAGCTGGAATGTTTGGGTGAAAGTGCAGAAGTGATTCTGGTGATTTAATTTGCTCCTAGAATCAGTTTTTTAGAAACTAGGGGAAACCAGCTTCTGGAAACTAATTCTGATACTGCTTCTACTTTAAAAAAGAAGCAGAATCCAAACACCCCCTCAGACAAAATCATTTCGTAACTTCAACAACTCAATCTCACAAACACTAAGAGAGTGTTTGCAATTGCTTCAACTTTAAAAAAGTGATTTTTTAAAGTGATTTGGGGAAAAGTGATTAATAGTAAAAGTTGGTAGTGTTTGAGAAAAAAATGATTCTGAAAAAGTAATAGTTGGTAGTGTTTGGTAAAATAAGTACTTTTTGTGTAATAGAAAAAGTGAAAAGCAGTTTAAAGCACCCTTCCACCTGCTTCCAGCTTTTAGCTTTTAAGTGATTAATTTAAGCAGAAGCTGTCATTTAAAAACACTCTTTTTAACTTTTTTTAAGCCAAAAGCTGAAAAGTGCTTTTTTTAATCAACTGCAAACACTCCTTAAATTCCCTAAAAAAAATCTCACAAAACACTAAGGAGATGTTTACTTCACTGCTAAAGTCACAGTTAGGTTAGTAAGACAGGTGAAGTAAACACGCACACTGCTTAAAAAGCCGCTTACTAACTGAAAGAGGTGCTTAAAGTGCCGCTTATTAAGCATACCACCCCTCATGTATTAATTAAGCGGCACTTTAAGCTTTTTCAGTTTCCGAATTTACCCCTTGCCCTTAACCTATTGTTATCCCTGCCCCACCTCGACCCCAACCCCACCTACCCCGACCCCACCCTACCCTTACCCCACCTACCCTGACCCCACCCTACCCCCGACCCCACCCTACCCCCGACCCCACCCCACCCTACCCTTACCCCACCTACCCTACCCCATCCCGACCCCACCCTACCTACCCCACCCCTACACCTACCTAACCGACCCCCACCCTACCCTTACCTACCCCGACCCTACCCCTACTTACCCGACCCCCCCCTACCACTACCCCGACCCCACCCTACCCCTACCTTACCTGTCTGACCCCACCCTACACGTACCCCACCTTACCCCTACCCTACCCCCATTACCAGACACCCCCTACCCTACCTAACCGACCCCCACCCTACCCTTACCCCACCTACACTACCCTTACCCCGACCCCACCCCTACCCTTACCCCTACCCGACCCCACCTTACCCCTACCCATACCCTGACCCAACCCTACCCTACCCCATCCTACCCCTCCCGACCCCACCCTACCACTACCCTACCTAGCTACCCAATCCCACCCCTACCCTACTTACCCGACCACACACCTACCCTTACCCTACCTACCCCACCCCTTACCCACATACCCGACCCCACCCTACCCTATCCGACCCTACCCCCGCCTCAACCCCCACCCTACCTACCCAACCCGACCCCTACCCTACCTACCCGATCCACCCTACCACTACCTGACCTCAATCACCCCACCCTATACCCCTTACCCCACCCCTTACCCCACTATACCTAGGGTGGTGGGGTCAGGGTGGGGCCGATGTGATAGAGGCGCTAGGGGCAGGGTAGGTGTGGTGGGGTAGGGGTAGGGGGTGGGTTGGGTAGGGTAGGGTAGGGGTAGGGGCGGGGTTGGGGTAAGGTAGGGTAAGGTGGGGTCGGGGTGGGGTCGATGTGGTAAGGGCCTATGGGGTCGGGGGTAGGGTTGCGGTAGGGTGGGGACATGTTAGGGTGGGGTCGGGTAGGGGTAGGGTCGGGTAGGTAGGGTGGGGTCAGGTAGGTAGGGTAGGGGTAGGGGTAGGCGGTGGGTGGGGTCGGGGTAAGGTAGGGTGGGTAAGGGGTTAGGGGTATGGGTACACATATTATATTATATACTTGTGTTCATGAATGTTTGTGTATATATATATATATATATATATATATATATATATATATATATATATATATATATATATATATATATATATATAGGGTTATTTTGTACATTTTAATGTTAAGCGGTGTTTTAAACCGTTTGAAGTAAACACGGTCTTACAACATTGTTTATTTTATGCACCGCTTATTAACACGGGTCTTAATAAGCACCGTTTAATAACCGGTGAAGTAAACATGTCCTAAAAGTATATTCACAGCTGGTATTGACATGCTTACTTGCATATATGGTGACAAATGAATTTTCGAAGATCAGCTTTTTAAACATTCCAAAAGGAATGCTTTAGTATTTGTCACTCGGGGGAGGCGAAGGTCCGAACTGTAATTTTGCTTGGGAAGTTATGTCCCCTCTTTCTCGGGCAGCCTTCCGGTTTCATCCATAAACCGATAAACGGCTGGATATATCATCCCTACGCCATCCCGTCTCCTTATCATCCATCACGTTATCTCACCAACGTCTTCAGTATTTTCTCCGACTTCGTAAAATTTGCCCAAACCCCCAAATCTATATTTCCAGCAGTAACCTTAAGCATGTCAGATAGTTTAAAGCCGAATCTCGAAGAATTGGAGGTAGATAGGGAAGTAGATGATCGTGTATTGTTCCCGCCCGAATCTGATTTTTCCGAGGTGTGTTCTTGCATCGATTGTTCTGCGAAAACAGAGGCGCTCAAGGCATTTGAGATAGATCTACGGTCGAAAGACACCATAGTCTTGGTTGGTAGAAAAACACAATCAATATCTTAGGCTTCTCTGATCATAGTGATCAATTCATTCATTTGTATGTTTTCCTTTTGAATTTGTATTCAGGAACATGAGAACCAATTGCAGCCAGCGATTGTGGCCTGCATGGCCCTCTCTGCTGCCTCAGAATGGACGAAAAACATGTTGAATCGTCTTCATGATGACCTGAAAAGACTATACAAGGTATACTGATTCCATTTAGTAGTGTTATTTAGGGCGTAAACAAATTTCATACTCCGTAATATATTGTATTTCATTTTTTAGGAGTCAGGAGTCTCATGGACACTCACAAGAAGTAAATCTGAAGAGGAACTGAGAGATGTGGATATTAAAATTGGTAATATGATGTTAGATAATGGGCTGATAAAGGAAATTGTGACTCCAGATGGAAGTGAGACCGATGTTTTTGATGATAGGCCTCTTGTGCGCGTTATCCATTTTGGGGTAATAAATTAGACTGTAGAGTTTTAAATATATTTTAGAAAGAGATATAGTGAAACATCTGAATATCATATAAATGTTTCTTCTGTCAGTGGCTCTAGACTACATCTTGTCATCCAAGTGTTAGTCTTTTCAATCATCAACCTTAGCCATGTTAACCTTGCATCAAAATGTGTTGAGCACAGATTTCTGTCCAAAAAAATTGTAGCAATTCATTAGTTCTGTAACTTATCCCCATTTCTACTCAACATTTTATATGGTTATCTGTGGTTTTGTGGATTCTCTTTTCCAGATTGTTTGGTATGCGGATACCAAATACAAGGATGCAGCACATGACATTCTCAAGAAGATTGAAGAGATTGAAAACCAACATGAGCAAGATAAGAAGTCTGCTGCTGAAGAAGGAAAACCTCTAGACTTTTCAATCTCCAAGAAGCACATTAACAACCAAATTAATGTTAAGTCATCTAGCATTCAACCCCTTTTTTCGGTTTTTGCTTAAGTTGCTTCAATCCCTTTATTCACTTGTTTTCCTATGTTGCTTCTGATTGGAGTAGTTATCATGTCTCGTTTATAATAGTTGTTAAAGATGTTGCCGGTTGGTGAGATGTACCAAGATTTTCAAAACCTTGTGCACATAGCTGCCCGCAAGCATGTAGATTTCATCTTAAAAGCTGAGAAAGAAATAAATGAAACATATCGTTCTATGATTGTGATTCGAAGGCAATTTTGGAAACATTATCAAGAGGTAATGCATGTGTGTAAGTGTGTCTTCTTTTGATAGCAGAATTATCTTAGTAATTATTAATTTAATTGCCCTTTTTCATTGGATCTAACTTTAAAGTGTGATGTGTTCTTAGATTGCTTCCTTCACAAGAAATGATGACAAAGAGAAACACAATTGGAGTGGGTTGGAAGAAACACTTGATTCATTAGCCAAGAAGGTTTGTTGAAGTTATATAGCATTATCATTTTTCATATATTCATTATTTCTAAATGACTAAATCTCAAGTGTCTCCAATGGATCTTAGGCTGATTTATTTAAAGAGGCGTGGCAGAATGAGTATGAACAACACTTCGGTCCATCTAAAAATCAAAAGACAATGCAATGAGGGGAAGCGTTCTATGGCAGAAAGCCTTCTACTCTTCTAACTATGATTTAGATTTTTTCCATGGTTTTTGGTAATACTGTAATACTTCATTGTGCTATGCTGCAATTCTCGTGTAACAGTGCCATTTTCCTCACCACACGTGCTGCAATTCTATTTTCCTGTCTTTTAATAATCTATTTCCCGTCAGTCCCGTGTGCTGCAATTGAGTGTTACAGTCTTAAGCTCTTTACAGTTAAATCGTGAAAACTAACTAGTTCTGGTGGAATATATCGAGAACGAGATCAATAACTGCTGAAATATATTTGTTCTGCTCATTATATGGAATTGGTTTTATGTTAGAAAACCTAATCTGCTATTAATACTCCCTCTGTTTTCAGTTATCTATTCCTATATAGAGTTTTGATAGTTATTAAGTTGAAAACAATGAAGCTAGTGGATAGCAGGGAACTGATGATGAATAGGTTGAAAAAGTAAGAAAGAATAGGTGAAAAAAGTAAGGGTCTTTACCTCAAAGCATAGGTAAAAGTTGGGATTGAAGTGTCCAATATGGGAATAAGTAAATAAATAAAAATAATAATAGATGAATTATTACCAAAGCATACTCAATTGATTTAGGTTCTAGAATAGTACGGAGTAGTTTTTTATATCAAGGACACCACAATTTGCTGTTATCACGTACTCAAATGAGTTTTTATTTTTATGTTCTTGTTATGCAGATTTATCTAGGGGATCATCTTACATTTAAGTAGTCTTTGTGCCAATGACCTTTTAGTGGTAACTCATTTGTTTCTCCCTGCCGGCCTCGCTACAAATTCTGCATCACAAGGGTCATTCTTTCCCACATTTTAGATTGGTGAAATATTATGAATTATGATTATGATTTCTTGAGCTGACACATACTTAAAAACATGTACGTAATTTGAAGGCTCTGTTCAAAATAAAATTTGAGGCCCTAATATTTAATTTAAAAAATAATACCAATAATACAATAAAAAATCAAATTTTATAAAATGCAATTCTACTTGATGAAGCACCAAGAGTATCAAAATTTCATTCAAAATTTTGAACTTAAACTACACTAATTTAAACAATGCTTTCTTTCTATAGAATTTGAAATAAAATCTTCAATATGCCTTGATATGCAACTTTCTTATGTAGATCCCTCTCAATTGCTACTAAAGCAAATCCATTGAGTGTTTCCAACGTTCTCCATATGTTGGGAAATAATTCCGAAAGGAAACTTGTGATATGGATCAATAAGGAGGTTAAAAGAACATATATGGAAAGTATTTCAAACATGAACAATGGTCTTCAAATAACGATGTCAATAACGAAGCTTAGCATTTGTACTTAAAAAATTTGTACTTATACATATTAGTATTTGTACTTATAATACTCCTTAATAGATATAATATTTATTATCATTTTTGTTTTGATTGGTAATTAGAGAGCAAGAACTAGCAAAATTAGTTTAACTCAAAAAATTAATTACAAAAGGTATAACTATGCTTAAAGAGGAGCAAACATAAAGCTCTACATGGTCCGATGGGAGAGGCTCCACTATTTCGCATTGAGAACTAAAAATCGACTCCCAAGTCCAACTGTTTTCCAATTTATAACCAGATTTTTACTCATTTCTGGACCCAATCTGGATTGGCCCAAGCAAGACGCGCTTCACAAATAGCACCGGGTTGGGCCAATCAATAAAATATTGTCGGCAAACATCTTGTACCACGGTATATCGTCATGAGTTTACTTTGTAAGTTCATCCATGACTATGGCAAATAAGAAAGGGCTCAGAGCCGATCCTTGGTGCACTCTGATAGTAATGGAGAACTCCGCAGTCCTCCCTACACTAGTATAGACACTTGTAGTACAATCCTCATACATATCCATGATGACGCTGATATACTTGCGTGAAATGTCTTTTCCAGTTAAAGCCCATCATAAAACTTCTTGAGGTACCCTATCATATGCCTTTCCTAAGTCAATGAACCTAAATGCAAATCCTTGTGAACGTCTCTATACTTCTCCGTAAGTTGCCGAAGAAGGTGAATAGCCTAAGTTGTTGAGCGACAAGGCATAAAACCGAATTGATTCTCTGAAATCTTCACCGTTCTTCGAAGTCTTTGCTCAATCACTCGCTCCCAAAGTTTCATGGTATGACTCATAAGCTTAATCCCTCAATAGTTGGCACATTCTTGTACATCACCTTTATTCTTAAATAAGGGAATAAGAGTACTATTTCTCCAACTCGTTGGCATCTTGTTGTTTCTTCAAATCTTGTTGAAGAAATTTGTTAACCACCCGATGCCTCTCTCTTCCAAACTTCTCCAAACCTCGATCGGTATGCCATATGGACCCACTACTTTCTTCCGCCCCATCTTCCTCAGAGCCTCAACTTCCGTTGTTTGGATCCTTCTCACAAAATCACGATTTTCAAATATGAATTTTGATGAAAACGGTTAGTAACACAAGAGGGGGGGTGAATTGTGTGTGTGGAACCGTGGCAGTTTTTCGCCCAGTTCTAGTGCGGGGTGAAGGGTATTGCGAAATAGTAAAGTGCACAAGGATTTAACGAGGAAAAATCCCTTGGCTCAAAGGGATTAAAAAACCTCGACCTCCCTCGGAGGAATTTTAACAACTTCACTAAAAAGCCTTTGAATGATTACAAGGGAAACTCTCCTAGTCTACCCTTGAGCCACCCCAACTCTATCCTCTCTAGGAAGAGTTACGCTTCTCTACCTTGCGGGTAGAGAGCCTCTCAGCTTTACAACAAAGCTCTCACAACACACGTTACCCAACCCGAGGAAGCTACACTTAGCTAATCCTCAATAACCCAATTACAATATAGGAAGAGAATAAGAACTCTGTCTAGAACTCCGGGAGCAGTTTCAGGTGCCTTGAACTTTGTATTTCTCTCGAGTATCTCTCTTGATATTTTCTCGGTCAAGCACACCCTGCTTCTTCTTCTTGATCTCGATTATATAGTCTACTAGGAATGGATCCGTTGAGACACTTCTTTCCTTGAATGGTTGAGGAACTTGCCTTGAAATTATTCAAAATGCTTTCCTTTTATTTAAGGATCTTCTAGCTCTTAATTATGATGGTCCTTGGTCAACCATATATATGGGAGCAGGAGGATACGTGCATACCATGAGCAAGTCAAAAAGGTATAGAGCATATTATGTGATCAACCATTTAGTAATAATTCCACAAAGATATATATCAATACATATCAAGGGAAGTTATTTATTCACTTAAACTATGCAAGCATGCAATGGATCATATTTCAAATAATATGCAGGAGAATATTTGTTAAATAGGTATGCACAATCAACTAGCTAATCAATTAAGGATTCTTTCCATAAAATAATAAGCTATAATAATAAATCATGCATGAAAATATATTTTTGCTTAAAATAATATTCTTGACAAAGTATAAGCACTCATATAAGGAAAACACATATTAATTAAATCATACACCATGTAAATCAACCGTTCACACAGAATACAATTAAGAATAATTTTTTCTTCCGTTCCGTATGGAACTGAGAGCGGTTCCGTCCGCTGTTCCACCTGCATAGTTAGTCATTAATAAAACTACATACTCAACAGATTCTTTCCTTTGAGATCGGTCTTCTTAGATGGGCAAGATCAGGACTTGATGTACTATCTTTAATAGCTCGGATCTCCATATATATTTCGGTCCTCTTGCATGGAAATCATTCAAAAATATTTCCTTATAGGTATTAAAAGATATTCTTTTTATTTGATTGAAGGAAATCATTTTTCTTAAGGAAACATTCCTTGTGAGAAGATATGCACGAAAATCCTTTAAAGAAAAAATCCTTTCTTTGTATGATCATTGATTATTTTCTTGCTTAAAAGGTTCTCTTTAATTTAGCAAGATAGATCCGAAATTAAATGGAGAGAAAAGATATTTTAAGCAAGCCGGATTAATCAATCTTGGATTTACGGTGCAGTTCTCGGACCAGTTCTACGGCTTGTTCCAGAGCACGACTTAAACTCTTTTCATGTAGTCACTTACAACCAAAAGTAACACTAGTCGTTTGTCATCAACAAAACAATACGTTCCAACAAATTTGTTGTTGTTGACACTATTTTGACACTATTTGGACACTGTTTGCATTGTTTTGCACTGGTTGACACTGTTTGACAATGTTTTGATGTAGATAATTTGTCAAATAAGAAAATGTATTGAAGTGAGAACTTAATTTAGGGACTGTCCAAAAAGGAAAGTGAGAACTTAAGTGGAGGACAGAAAGGGGGACAAAAAGAGTATCATACAAGTTGAAAGTGCTCAAAGTGTGAGAGTCATTGTACTTGTTTCCACCAGCAGACACTTTTTCTTGGATAGGACCAGCTTCTGCTTGAGGTTCTGAGGAAATTCATCAAAGTTGACAATGGGATATGATACCGATAACTAAAGAAGAAATTAAATTAGACTCCGTAGCAGAATAGGGATAATCCAACTTTAGCAAGTGTCCTGTACAATGTGAGTGTCTGCTGCTTCTTTACATCCTTACGGTTTTGCTTGATCGATGCATTCATAGTGTTCTATAAAGCTGAAAGTGTATTTGTGAAAGTTTGATTGTTCTCAAACTTTGGAAAAAAGTAGCAATATTAATACAATTAGTAGTGCCATATTAACTGGTCTCTATATTCTATTTATGAAACTACTACGTATGTGAGTAAGAGTGATGGTAAATTCGTGACCTAATGATAATACAATTAGTATTGATAATTAAAATGAACTAATTTAGGAACTAAATAAAAACACTTATTGAACAGCAAAAAGAAATTAAGTTGACAGCGGGAATATAGTAAATGTGAACCTTATCCGGGACAGATGTCACGGGAGGTGTTCCTTAGTGACGGCTGAATTGAAGCGAGCATCAGTCAGACGAAGAGAAGAGAAGCAATAGAAAACAGGACAGTCCATTTCCGTAAAATAACATGGATATGGATGTGAGCTCCGGAAGAAGAAGCAATCCTCCACAAAAATTGTAGGAGTGGCCATCCGAGTGAAGAAGAGAAGAGAAGAGAAAACGGTGGAGATGAATGAAGGCGGAAAAGAGGAACATATCAATCGAATGAGAATTGAGAACGGGAATGAAAGAGAGTGAATGGTTCAGACATTAAAGAGAATTGAATGGTTAGGTAAGAAACCGAAGAAACGATGGTTATGTCCGAGAGCTAGTAATGAGTAATTAAACTAATTTAATTATAATTATTGTAAGATTATGAGAGAGAAGCGGGAAATCTTTTGGAGAAATGGATTTTACCTTTAGGTATACTAGTAGAACATTCGTGCGATGC